CGAGCTCAGCTCAAAAGCTCTTTTTGGAGCCGAGGTCGTGGCTAGCTAAGCTTGGCTCAATCACACTACACAATGCCTCGTCAAAACTCATTAATAAATCGTATCATATTGGTTGTAAACAAACTAAAATATTTCAAGAGGTTAAATTTAAGCACTCATTTTATCAGAAATATATATATATATATATATATATAGTTTTATGTATTATATATAATTTTTTTATATTTATTAAACAATAATTTCTTCTTCTTCCTTTTTTACCTTATTACTTGCTGGCATTAAATCAACCTTAAAAGAAAAATATAAATCAAAGTATGGTTTCCCTCAACTTAAAATGCCTTAAGTTAGTTGGGTGGCATTGTTGAAATTGATGAAAAAAAAAGAATTTACAGACATACCATGCACATCTTATGTATTTACATATTTAATGCCTAAACTTTCATATTTATATGCGTACAACTCAAATTTTTGACATCACATAAAAATATCACCATCATAACTTTTAAAAGGGAAATAAACATATTCATGTATATGTTTATCACATCAAAACATTATAAATATAAATATCAAATTTTGAGGGTTACATATATAAATATATAAGAATTGTGTGGTATGTATGTAAATTTCTAAAAAAAAGATTAACTCTTAGGCTCCAACTAATAAGAAAGCCTCCAACCCATTTTCCCATTTTATCTATCAATTATGAGGGGCTTGTACTTTCAATTTTCAAGTACTCTTATTACTATTAAAAGGGGAGACCAGAGAAGGAAGATTCTAAAATTTTGAGATCTAAATATCATCAAAATGCCATTTTCAATGCATGTGATTTGGATTTGATTCAATCACCAAAGGAAAATTAGGTTTCATGGGGGAGGCCACATGGCACCTTGGTCATGGACCATTTGACCCACTTATAGCAAGGCCAGAATAAGCATTGGGGAGCAAAGACCGGACCAAAGCTGGTCTTTGCCACCCACTGAAAGGCTCCCCAATCAGACCAAGCTCCATCCCATGCCTTCCTCTCCACCATTGGTCTCACCATGGCCAAGGCATGAGAACTTGCAAAAACTCCTCCCCACTGCTCAAAACCTCTGAAAATTCTCTGCAAAGTCACCCAAGCATCTCCATGCCAAGTGCCCACCTCTCTTATGACTACATAAGGAGGGAACTCGAAAGCCCTAAGTGCACACCAAGCTCCTTACCCAGCCATCCAACCCTCTTGCTCCCAACATCAACATAAATCGTCGGCCTAAAGCTGATAAATCGTCGACCTTCGCGCCATCTGGAGGGCCCACTCCTAGAAAATCTAGTGTCACCACAAGCTTCGAATCAAAGAGGATGGTTGAACCCATCATCATATCCAACAGCCCAGTGGCCGTGCAGCCACTATCGTTAGGGAGGCCGAGAGTTACGTACATAGGATGCTTGAACTTTGAAGTGTTGTGCATACATGATCTTGATTTTAAGTTTGAGTATTGGAGAAAAATATAAAAGTTTTTTTCAAATACTTTTGCTATATTATACGGTGTTGGATAACTGCACGATCCTGAAGATTAGCTTCTTCCTTAGGTCGATTTCATTTCATTGATAGGTTCGGGGCACTTGGTTGCCTTTGAAACTTTGTAGGTCTCATCCTTGTTGTATCTGGTCGGACCATTGAGCCTTCAGATCTTCTACTAGTGCGTCGTCCCTTGATGTACTTTCTTTCTCTTGAATAGCTGTTGACATATTTTCTATGTACATCGGAAAAATAGAATGAAAATTCATGGCTTAGTCCTAAATATTTGGATTAGCTAAGGATTCAATAAATCATTGACATATATAAGTCAATAGAAAATAAATGTAGCTAAAATGTTAGAAACAAGAATTTTGAAAAATCTTTATTTATGCAACATTAGTTTTATATAAAAGAAAATTATTATTTTTATGATTAGAGATGACAAATTACTTTTAGAATGATTTTATTCAGCCGCTGAGTTAGTTTGTTCATTGAGCAAAAATTTATTGTCTGAAATTAAATAGCTTGTGTTAAGCCATATTAATGATGTGGTTCCTCTTACTTTTGATGGAAACTTCTCCAATTAACTCTCAAACTTGAGACATGATATTATGTTTAGATTATTTTAGTAGTTATTATTTTTCATATAGTTTAATGAGATATAGACATATATATATATATATACATATGATCAATTGTCTTTTCTTCATAATGCAAATTTTGTCGCTCCAGT